GAATAACACACTCCTCCCCAAACTGCCCTGGAGGTAACCCTTGGGTGTTTTAGGTTTTCTCCAGTATTTGCAGTTACAGTCTGCAGTGAATAACTGTGTACATATGTATTTTCTTATTTTTGGAGCTGTATATGTAATCTTCAGGGTACATTGCTAGAAACTGGTTCACTCTGTTGAAAGATAAAGTGCTTTTGAGGACTTCCCTGGTGGCCCAGTGGTTAAGAAGCCACCTTCCAACGCATGGGACGCGGGTTGGGTTTGATCCCTGGTCGGGGAACTAACATCCCACATGCTGTGCCGCAACTACTTGAGCCCCTGTGCCACAACTAGAGAGCCCGTGTGACGCAACAACGGAGCCCACGCTCTGGAGCCCGCGTGCCACAACTAAGATGCAGCCAAAAATACAAATAAATAAATACATACACACATACATAAATGCTTTTGTAATTTTGTTAGGATTGCCAAATTCCTCTCCTAAAGAATTGTAGCAGTTTGCATGCCCATTAGCAGTGGTGCCTATTTTTCTACAGTACAGCCTCCTCAACAAAATGTGTTGTTGTACTTTAAGTTTTACCATTCTCTGTGTGGTTTTAATTTGCGTTTCTTATGAGTTTTAACATTTCATATCTTTTGTAAATTGCTTCATTGGGTTTTGTTTGTTTTTGGTTTTTTTTTTGTTCTTTTTTCAGTGGTTTTTAATATTAATATATGGGCTGAGGACCCCAAAAGACCTCTGAAGTCTTTTTATGCTTAGGACAAACTATTTTCATAACAGCACAAAAATGTTATTTGTCTTTTTCACTGTGTTGATAGTTGTAGTGAAGGTACAAAAGCAGTGGTATGAGGTAAAACTGGCCTCATAGCCCCAAACCATCCTAATAGTTCCTGGGCTTACTCAGAGTTTATAAGAACAATCCCAGTTTTGCTGCAGAATAACTCAAAGCAGTAAAAATTACTAATTTTACCACGTCAGCTTTTGAATAGACATTTTGAAATGGGAAGTATGCATAAGGCATTTCTGCTTTATACTGAAGTACTTGCATGATTGTTTGAATTGGAAGCTCAACCAGCTGTGTATTTGTGTGTGTAACACTACTTTTACTTGAAGGAATGGTTATCCAGACTGGAATATTTGACAAACATTTTTCTCAAGTGATGAGTACCTGTTGCTTCAAGGAAAACACCTCTGATAGTAGTTGTTGCCAATGAAGAAAATTGAATTTTAAAACAAAAATTAAAATTTGGAAAACATTTATCTGCCACCATGAGATGAGCTCAGTACTTTTCACTACTTAAAGACTTTGATTGCATTGGTGGTGATATTAATTAAAGTATGATTTTTAAAAAATATTGTATAGTGAAATGTGTCATCATTTGAAAGATTTACCTGAATATTTTCTAAATGACCAAGACATGCTATTATAAAATCACATTGGGTAAAATAATCCATTCAAAGTGCAAAATAGGCCAGTGGATGGGTATTCATGTAACAGAGTAAGTACAAAAAGTCCACTGATACGGTTTCAGGTAGCACATTGTAACCACCCATTAAGAAACTATCACTTACCGATATAAAATCAAACATGAATATCCATAATCATCTAAAAGGTTTACTAAAATAACTCTTCTTTTCAACTATGTGTGTGGGTAAGGTTCTTCATGTACTTTAACATAAAATGAAATATTAAAACAGATTGAAAGTATTTTCTTGAATTTTTCTTTCCCTTGGTCGTGAATGTTGGATTTTGTCAAAGGCCTTTCCAGGGTCTATGGATATAATCTCTGAATTTTTTTCTCTAGGTTTATTAATTGGGTCTCCTATATAGTGGCTTTCCTAATACAACAGTCTTGGAAATAAATCACCTTGTCATGGAATATTTGTATGGTGTTGGCCTTTATAAATGATGTTAGGCTTTAGTATTTGGAGGGGGGCTTTGTCTTTTTTAAATTAATTAATTTATTTGTTTTTTAAGTTTTTGGCTGTGATGAGTCTTCGTTGCTGCGTGTGGGCTTTCTCTAGTTGCAGTAAGCAGGGGCTACTCTTGTTGCGGTGCTTGGGCTTCTCATTGTGGTGGCTTCTCTTGTTGCGGAGCATGGGCTCTAGGCGTGCGGGCTTCAGTAATGGTGTGTGGGCTCTAGAGCCACAGGCTCAGTAGTTGTGGTGCATGGGCTTAGTTGCTCCGTGGCATGTGAGATCTTCCCAGACCAGGGCTCGAACCCGTGTCCCCTGCATTGGCAGGTGGGTTCTTAACCACTGTGCCACCAGGGAAGCCCTGTCTTTATCGTGGATAGTCATGATCAGATTTAGGTATCAATATTATATTTGCTTCTTGAAAAGAGTTAGAAGCTTTCCTTCATTTTAGGATGCTCTGGAACAATTTATGGAGCATCGAGGCTATCTGGATATTGATGTTTTGGTAGAATTCCCTGTGAAATCATCTGTGCCTGGTGTTTTTTGTGGGATAATTCCCTCATAACTATCTCTGTTTCCTCTTCAGCGATGGGGTTGCTTAAGTCTTTATTTCTAATAGAGTCAATTTCAATAATCTGTATTTCCCTGTAAAATTATCTGTTTTATCTAAGTTTTCAAATTTATTTGAACTTGTTCTGTAGTCTCTTATGTTTTCTAATTGTGTGCTAATAGTTTTCTTTCTAATCATTTCTTTATTTTTGAAATTTTAGGCCTACTTCTAGCTATTTTGAAATTTGCATATTCTCTGGTTTTGAGCTATATTAAGGGTATGGTTTTGTGTAGTGATCTGTTTTGTATTATTTTGCAGACACAGATTCAGGCAGTTGCCATTATCTTCTGCCACCCAGATGTTTTCCTGTTTGTTTTTTCACATTAACCTTTTCTGGGGGGGTATTAGCTTTATTGCAATGTAATTCACATACCATATAATTCACCCTTTAGATGTACAATTTAGTGATTTTTAGTATATTCACAGATCTGTAAGACCATCACCAGAGTCACTTTTTAAGCATTCCATCACCCTAAAAAGAATAATGTTACTCATAAACCATCCCTCCTTAATGTCTCCATCCCTTTCCACACCCCAGCCGTCGACAATCACCAGTCTGTTTTCTGTTTCATACAGATTGGTCTTTTCTGAACGTTTCATCTAAGAGGAATTGTATGATGTGTGTGGTCTTTTATGGTTGGCTTCTTTTAGATAGCATCATGTTTTCTATGTTCCCCATTTTGTAGCATGTATCAGTACTTCACTCCTTTCTATTGCAGATAATTCATTTAATGGATATACCATATTTTATTTATCCATTCATCAGTTGATAGACATTTGGGTTGTTTGCAGTTTTTGGCTATTAATAAATGCTGCTGTGTGTGGGTATAAATCTCTGTTTGCCCACGTTTTCATTTCTTTTTGGTATATACCTAGGCGTGGAATTGCTGGTGTTTATTCTTTTTAAAGAAGAGTTTTTCTCTTTTCTTCTTCTTTGGCTATTTCAGTAGACTTTGGGGTGGAAGGGGAGGTCATGATGTATCCCCTGTCCATGGTGGGTGTGGCCTTTGTGGATGGGACAGTAGTGGAAGGAAGTTGTTACCTTTGTCCTCAGGTGGTTTGGATTGTAGAGCATAGTGTAGTACAACGTTATATGAAAACATAGCCTCTGATTTTTTGATTCTGGAGCCCTAGGAGAATATTGGCTGTTTCTTTTAGACTACTATGAATACTTCATTTCCTTTCTAGGGAATGGTGTGGATTTCTTTGAGATAGGTAATTTTTAGTTTTATTTATTTATTTTTATTTAATTATTTTTTTTAGAGTGAAAACTTCTGTATTTCACATTAGCCAGCTTGACTCAGTTTAGGCGATCCCAGTTTTGTTGGCAGCATCCAAAGCATCGTAGTCAGGAGCCAGGCGAACATATGCCTTCCTCTCTCCTTCTCTCAGGCCTGACCAGGGTGTTGACCTTGGCCACGTCAGTGTCATAGAGCTCCTTCGCGGCCTGTTTAATTTGATGCTTGTTGGCCTTGACATCCACAGTGAACACCAGTGTGGTGCTGTCTTCTGTTTTCTTCATGGCTGACTCGGTGGTGAGGGGGAACTTGATGATGGCATAGTGGTCAAGCTCGTTTCTCCTAGGGCGCTCTTCC